TTTGTCAACAGTCATTGGTCTCATTGTAATCAGTCGATATTCAGTGAGACTTTCTAACAGAATAGCCAATTCATCAATACAAGTACTGGTCACTGTTGTACACCTTTCCTTTTCTACACTCTTAACGTCTTTGATTGATGTATTCACACCAGTTTATATATACACTAACACAAGTGATGCACCATTGGTTGTATGGCAGAATGATGGTAGAGTGGAATATGGTAAAGGTGGTCATCAAATACTAATGATTGTTACAGGATTGATAGTGGGTACAATCCTCACAACATACCTAACTGTATTACTAGCTGGTAGACCACTTATGAAGATCAACAGAATGAGGGAATATCTTCGTCCAATTTATGAAGCAATACATGCTCCATATAAACCAAATAGAGAATTCCTTTTTTCGTTCTCTACAATTTTTATTGCTCTTACATATTTAATTAGTACTATCTCTATTGGTGTTAATCCAACTCTTGGTATAATAGTTGGTGTTTCAGTTATTTGCTTGTACTTGAATGTAGTTGGATTTTCCCATCCTTTCAAGAGCATGCACCTCAATGTCCTCAATACAGTAATTTCTTCAGATATTATTATTCTCCTTTGTTCTTTCTGGTCAACTGTTGATGTCACTGCTAGTATTAAATGGGCAATTCTAGCTACATTCTGTCATTTGATCATCATTATCATTTTGCTTGGTATCATTATGGGTCAGTTTTCATTTGGAAGGAAACTCTTCAACAAAATGAATGATCTTTTTGTCAATACCAAGTTTAAGTTTAATCGTCCACTTGCTCATCAAAGGAATTTAAATGATTGTGATTCCTTTTATCAGTCGTGCAATGAAAGAGAACCACTTCTTAACTCATAATTAATAATGTTTACTTTGATTATAAGTATAATCATAGTTAGTTAGTTGTGTTATACTTTTTAATGTGTACACAATATTGATAATGATAAGTTGATGTTTTAATCGAACAGACAATGAGTATAGATGTTGTTGTTCTTGAAAGTGGACATGCATATGCTTCTGTTTATGCTAAAAGTGCCCAAATGGTTTTATATTGCTTTCACTAACATCATGTTTGTTATCATAACAATCATTGATGAGAAATTTTATTTACTTTCAGTTTGAAACAAAATTAGTAAACATAACTTTCATTAAAGTAAGCAGATAATTGTTCAGTATTGTCATTATACAACATTTATGAGCATTAATTTTTACCATTATTTTATTTAATAGAAATTTTAACGACCTGGGGGCTACGCCCCCAGGTCGTTCCTATAATTGATTTCCCCGTCGCGCTATTATATTTATTTATTTATTTGTATGGTCCCCACTTACATTTCTTCTATACACGTACACGTTGTATTGGAGAAATAACAAGCCTTAGCAACCACCCGCCCACGCTCCTTTACATGAGTGGGTGTGGCCACGGCAAGCAAAATGGCGGCTTACACATGGGACAAAGTTAAGAGCTTTCTAACAGCAAGGGAACATAGAGATACTGTCTAAAGATTTCTCTAGAAGCATTAGAAGGTAGAGAGAGCCTCTATAAGTCTTAATAATGACCAAGTTGTACTTGCAAGGTGGTGAAATCAATTATAGGAATATTTTTTACCCTGTTACGCTTGTTTCTATGATATAATTCTCAAAACATTACTGAGCACTGATATTCTACCTTAACTACATATATTATCTAATTTTCCTTCTTTATTTCTTTCAACTTATTTTTAACTTGTTTTGCCCTGTTTGTTGTTTATTATTGTTATTATTTATTATTATTATTAATAGATCCAGATAATCCTACTAGTGCTTCAGAGGCGTACACTGTGTCTGCTCCTCATTTGAGTAAACTGTGGAGCTTTAAATGTCCACTGACCAAATCAAGACCAGTCACTTGTATGGCATGGAACACTGTCAATAAAGTAATGTTGATATTATTATTATTATTTTTTTTTTAATTACAACATTATTTTTCATTAATAACAATGGCTTGATGTAATAGTAACAGTAATATGCTTTACTGCAATAATAATAATAATAATAATAATAATATTATTATTATTATTATTATTATTATTATCAATACCGACAAAACAAAACAATAACAATGACAAAACAAAAAGGAGAGAGGAATTACAATAAGGAAATAAAAGAAAGGAAAAGGGAAAGAAAAGAAAAGAAAAGGGAAGAGGAGAGGGGGAGTAGAGTTAAGTGGGGGGGGGTTAGAGGATAATGGAGGTGACGGAAGGCAAGCCTGCAGCATCAGTGAATTGCCCCTTTGAACAGCAACTGCTATTATTATTATTATAAAATGAAGAATAGAACAACATAAGCAAAGAAAAACAATATTATTATTATTAGAATTATTAGAATTAAGATAGAGAGAGAGAGACGAGATTTGGGAAAAGGAGGAGAAACCCATTTATTAATTATTACTATTATTATCAATTTATTTATTTATCATTTATTTATTTATTTTGTTTCATTTTTAGGATATTTTTGCTGTTGGTTATGGCAGATTTAACATGTCAGATGAAGAGAACTGTGGCCTAGTCTGCTGCTGGTCTTTGAAGAATCCTGAAGTAAGAAAGCATTAATTGATTTTACTGTTTGTACCCTACATTTATCTACATGTACATGTACGTGTACATGTACATGTACATGTATGTATAAATTAATACTTTACATGATTTTTGAAAAATGTGTATGTGTATGCACTTTCCCCAGGATTTTCTGCAAGATTTTTTTGCACAGTCTACACTTCTTTGAATTTTTAAAGTCGGTCTAAAATTAGGCCAAAGTCCCTGTACTATAGTACAGGGTCATTGGCCGAATTTCATCAAAAATGGATAGGAGAGATTTGTCCATTTTTATAATTTTCCCTGATGCACATACATGTTTTCATGTTGTGTAGAAAGTTTGAGCAGATTCTAATTAAAATTAAATTTCTTACAAATTTTTAAAGTTACTCCAAAATCAGACAAAAACCCCTGTACTATAGTACAGGGTCATTGGCCAAATTTCATCAAAAATGACCAGAAGAAGTTTCTCGATTTTTATAATTTTTTCTGATACATATACATGTTTATATGATGTGTATAAAGTTTGAGCCGCTTCCGATCAAAATTGGATTTTTTATGAATTTTTAAAGTTGCTCTAAAAGGCTTTTGCATGAAGCTCACTGTCTAGCTCACTTGGCATGCTTTGTGAGAAAACCCTGACTGTTCCTGTTTCTCATTTCCTTCCTCTAGTATCCCGAGAGAGTGTTCTATGCTCCTTCTGGTGTCACTTCTCTCTCTTTCTCTCATCACAATCCAAACCTTCTAGCAGTAAGATAACGCACATGTACATGTACAGTACATGTAGAATTGTGTACATGCTTTTAACACTATAATAGCACATAATAATAATAATAGTACCTACATGTATATAGTATACATGTACATGTGTATTTGAGTTAAAATTAACAAGTAAATGTACATGTACATGTATTATACAGAACATAGTCAACGTACATGTACGTGTACAAGTGACTCTGAAAGTGAATATTAAGAATGAAGGAGAGAGTGTACGTAACACAATTTGCTTTATAATAATTATTAGCATTTTATTGCCAAGGTCAACAACATGTACATGTACATAATAGCCTGTAGTACTTCCTGTATTGTCAGTGGGCGGTTGATTAACCTCACTTTCCTTAATCAGTCTCTACATCTACTTGTTCTTGTGCCACCAACCCACTTGCCTTTGGGTACATGTACATGTGTACATGTTTCTATTCAATAATGTATTATCTCATGAGACTTACATGTACATGTACATGTATGTGTACATACAATGAGACTTACATGTACATGTATAGTAAGGAGTAATAAGTATAGTAAGGAGTAAGGAGTAAGGTATTTTAAGGAGCTCCATTATGTGTCTCAGAGGTGCTCGCTCATCCTACCATTATCCCTGTCACTCCTTCCGATCTCATGAGCAAGCTCTCTCAGATGGGAGGGTTTACTAAACTACATGTACACAAATACTGTATACTATTATGTTCTATTATTTTTCTATCTATTTTTAACTCAGACACTCATACATGTAACATGTATTATGTATACTGTATATGTATTTTTGTAAATAGTTTACAACATGGTTTACCTAATGTGTGATCATTCCTAAACATGCATATGTACATACATGTATGTACCGAGGAAGGATTCATTCACAAGTGTTCTTGCTCTTACAACGAGCAATTTTTGGAGACATACTCTGGACACAACGTAAGACCATTTTAAAATTATTTATCAATAATAATAATAATAATTTTGATGTAATTATTTGTTATTGTAATGGTATAGGGTCCGGTGTATAGGGTGATGTGGCATTCCTTGTTCAATGATTTGTTTCTGAGTTGTAGCAGTGACTGGAATATCTGTCTGTGGCATCAAGACAAGTCTAAACCATTACACACCTTCCAAGCCACACAAGTTAGCAATTATACATGTAAACCTATTTTATTTATAATTTATACAGTAACTGATTTACAAGTATTGTGTGTTGTGCATATGCATGCACTGTACCTGTACATGTACATATACACTTTTCAGTTGATCATAAACTTGGAATTGCTGAAAAATACATGTACACTGTTTTTATTGCACTACTTGTATATGTGTGTATGTTACAATTTTTTTTCTTTTCTACATTGTATGTACATGTATATCTAACCCTTCAATCTTTATTCCCATCTCTTCATTTCTCCTTTCTCTTTCTCCTTACAGAAGCAAGAGTCAGTAAAGGCTGGTTCCCAGTCAGGCAGGAGAAAGACAGGCACTGATGATAGACTGGTTGATCACAGCTCACAGGAGGCTGTGTGGAGCATTGACTGGTCTCCTCATGACCCAACAGTCTTTGGTTGCGTGAGAGGCAGTAGAATAGAGATATGGAACATGAAGCATAATGTGTAAGTTGTATACAAGTATGCTGCTTGTACATGTACGTGAAATGTATGGTGAATGAATTTGACGACTTGTAATCATTATTTTTTTGTTTCTTAAGCTTCAAATTTTTCTAAAAAATTCAATATTGACCAGAATGAGCTCAAAATGTATCAGAAAAAAAATATGAAAATGGGAATTCTCTCCTAGCTATTTATGGCAAAATTTGGCTGACAACCCTGTACTACAGTACAGGGACTTTGGCCTGATTTTTTATTTAAAATCCAGTTTTGATTGTAACCAGCTCAAACTATATATGCAACATGTATCTGTATTGGGAATAATTATATAAATGGAGAATTTTCCTTTTTTATTTTTGATCAAGTCTGGCCAGAGACTAGTCCATGGCTTTAGCCAAATTTTTAGCAGCTTTAAAAATTCATAAAAATCAATTTAGATCTGAATCAAGTCAAATTTCTAAAAATTGTTAGAAAATGGAAACTGTAGTTAAAAGGCACCAATACCATAAACAGCACTACATGTACGTGTACATGAATGTCATAATGCACATTTAGGCACAATCTTAGTTATGTATACAAACCAATAATGATCATTAAAACTAGTTTATATTGTGAATATTGTATCTCTTGCTTCTTGTATAGTCTTGATCCACTAATAGTACACAAGCCACTCTCTGGCACTAGACAAACATTCATCAAATTCTCTCATAACTCTGATGTCATTCTAGTAGGAGATTACAAAGGAGAAGTGTCTGTCTTTATTACTAAGAACACTCCTCCTTGCCCTGCTAATAAAGTAAAGCCATCTTTATAATTTCACAGCCACTTGATTATAATGTTAATCTTTCACTCAACATCTTTCTCTGTCTTTTCAATTCTTTTCTTTTGTGTACTGTACATGTATGTGTAGATGCAGGCTATGTCTGATGTTCTTGCTTCTCTAGAAAGCTCAAAGAAATAAATTGACATTTTAAGCAAACAAGCAAATATATACATGTATCACCCACAAGCATGGAGATCACTTACACACTATTAATGCACATAATTATGACAAAAATGATTATTCAAGTTTAAAAATAAGATATTTATCTAAGACATATTCATAAAGAACCAGCTCTTCTGCTGAGGGGCTGATTACATGCTGTTGTAAAGTGGACATGATATTTACAATGTGCATTAGTATGATAATATTGTGCTTTTGCATAGCTATGCTACTTTGTCTGTGCTTAAGTATAATCTTGTTTTTGTTGGTGGTATAGCAGAAGGTGTTTGTGCTTTCACTTTGGGCACAAAATGTACATGTACATGTACATAACATAATTATGTTACATGTATAATGATAATAGCAAGTCTTGTTGTTACAACAAGCAATTAAGAAATGTTGTTGCAGAATTCCTCACTAAAAACAAACTGTTTTAAAATTATGGCATGTTTAAAAACTGTCATGATGTTTGTGTTAACAGGATACACAATTTGCCCATGTTTATTTCTTGAAATTCTTGGGATGAAGTTATAGAGTAAGGACAAGTCATTAGAAGAAGGGTTTTTAATAACTGCATGTGTGACTACATAATGTATGGAAATCAGAATTTTCAAAAGCTCCAAGCTGTCATTAAGGAAGAGGACAAAGGGATGGACTAGACTACAAAATAATGGATGTTTTTGTTTAATTGAAGATGATGAGTAAACACCGAAATGGTTGCAACAGAATTGTTTACTGTGTACAGTGAATACTTTCAGTATGCAAGACATCTCATCACAGTTTTCCTTATCCTAAGCTAAACAGTGACTCTTTATAAATCACTGGGATGAAATAGTTGTCAAGTCATTGTGGTTAAAATGTATTTTACTATTCTTGCTCTTTCTCTTGTTCTTTTGCCAGTTTCCAGTGGTAAAGAGATTATTAATATAACTAGTGAATATGAGTTGGAGGAGTTCTTGTGTAATGAGACTCATTCACTGGATGATGCTATTGTGCTGGTGTTATCTGATAGCATCACTCACCGCATTAGCAGTAATGTATCATTTTGTGTCATCAATGATACCAAATCACTGACGCTAATGTCCAGTGGGTCCTCAAAGCAAGCTCTTATACAGTGCAATGATTCCAGTACACCACCAAACAGTGGGTTTGCTTTCACTAATATACACAGCCTGACTTTAACCAGGTTAGTATTCAGAGGCTGTGGTGAAGAATTGAAGAGACTAGCTGCAATGGAGTCAATCAACTCTAGTGCATCTCCAATGTATTTCTCACAGTATCATTCAGCTGTTTTGGTACTTCTTCATATCAATACATTACTCATTGAGGAGGTTACTATTACTAACTATTATGGTTTTGCTATTTTTGCTATCAATCCAAGGAATGCATCAATCAATAACTGTAGCATCACAGCATCATATGGTGGAAAAGGAAATGCTTATCAAAAGGAATTTGGATCTGGTCTGTTCTTGCTCTTCACTGATCATGATGTAGCATCATCTAGTAACTGTAATGTCACAATTCAACACAATATATTGAGCAACAATATGGAGTATTATCAATCAAAAAATGAATCCGCCTGCCACATTTATCAGAAGCATAATCAGAAGCACCTTCCAATATTCAATG